CCAGCCCACGCTGCACACACTGGCGCCTTGTATGTCTATTTACCTCCTAGAGTGGTTTATGCTAATTTATTGCCAAGCGGCGACTTCTTCTGCATACTGATTTGGCGCCACTTCTTTCTGAGCTGGGGCCTGTTGTCTGAAGTGAGGCCCGTGGACTGACCCCCTCCCCAGCACCCGAAAAGAAGGATGCGGCAACGTTTGTGGCACCTCTGGGAAAGGCAATGCTCCCCACTTGGACCCCCCCTTCCTCGAAGCCGCCATTCTGACTACATTATGGCTCTTTATTTCGGTCACCTTTGGTCAAGTAAGAGCAGGGTGAAGGGAGCAGGCTGGCCAGACTAAACAGCCTTGGCAGGCTGAGATTCCTCCACCGGGAGAGATTCCCACCATGGAGCCGAGCGCGCCCCATGCACGCAGGAATCATTACGCACCATTTGGCTCCAGGGCTCTGCATATTCATTCACTGATTTTTGCATGGAGCTGGTTTCCCCCTGCAAAGGGCCAGATACTGTCCCTTCCCAGAGAGACTTTCCAGACGCTTGAACCGGACTGAAGAGAACCAAAGCTTATAGCCATGGTTTGTAGCTAAGGCCATAGAAAGAAACACTGCAGATAGCTGTGCAGAGACAGCAGGATTTTCATATAAATATACCTCAGCTGTGTGCCTGTTCTGGTGACCTGGGTGAGTATGGGAGGGTGCTCACAAGTCAGGAAGACACTAGAAATCAGGATAACATTATTTTCCTCTTTCTTGAGTGCTTACATTGTGTACTATTCTCTGCTGCACAATGGTTTATTTCAGCACGAGGACATGAATTTTCAGATCAGGTTTTACTGACTATTCCTTGAAGGCTCATTTTCCTTTCGTCCTCGAGAAGACATGGTGCCCCCCAGCTCCTGGCCGGTGTAGAGCCCCTACACTCTCCTGTAGATGTTCAGCGTGCTGGAAGGATCATCAAGCTTGTCTCTGCACACCACCTTTCCAGCTACGTTTTCCATAGAGCACAACACAACCTTGAGATTACCCAGAATTAAAGAGTAAATCATCTCAGTGGTCAGGAATTCCTGGAGAAAAGTAAGGCCAAACGGGCAGCTGCTGCTCCTCTCACCTGCAAAGCTTCCCGCCAGTGTCTGCCTGTGTCAAGCATAGCTCAAGGTGAAGCCAAGCTCGGAGGCAAAGCCAGAAGAATTAATTAAGACAAAAGGAATAAAGTCAGGAGCAACTTGTTTTGACACTGGGGACTTGCTGACTGTAGCACATGGATCTTCTAGAAACCTGGTCACTGCCATGATGACATGAAGATTAGGGACAGTCAGACATGAGGCTATGCCCATGGAATAAGAATTGGGTTATCATATCACAGGTGAGAATGTGAATGAGAAAGGCAGTGTAACCAAGAGGAGTTAAGGTCATTGGCACATTTAACAAAGCAGTGGGCTAGCAAGCTTTAAGAAACATCTCAGAGGTCCTTCATTCCCCTGCAAGAGAGGCTGGAGAGAGTGCTCTAGCATGCTCAGCTCTCACACGGTTCCTCTGCACCCGGGGAACCACCCTGCCAGGCCCCGGCCAGACACGCTCTTGCCAGCAGTAGGTTGTAATTGCAGTGGGGATCCCTGAGAGGCAATTCCTGGCTGCAGAGCAAGCCAGGAGGCCTTTCAGCTACAGTGGAGGATGCGTCTCATGATTGGTAGAGTCACCCCAAAACAGTGAGAAATCTGGCCTGAAGTAGCAGAGGAGTGCAGTGTCCAAGACCCAGGAACTTGTCTCTGTGGGGCTGCCAACTGCTCAGGTAGGCTCCTCTCCTCTTGCGAATGTTATGTTCTCTGGGAAATTGTACTCATTTCCTAAAAGACAAAGATCTAGAGAGAAAAAGGATGAGAGACAGTTAGCTGGACACATGCAACTGCATGAGACAGCTCAGAGGTCTGTAAACCTTGCCTATGCTTTGCTGACACTGCACAGGCTGGCTCAAGTCTAGATAGACATGAACCTGTAGACAGACATGAACGTGCACTTCAGGAGCTGCTGGCTCTGAAGGATTTATTTGGGGTGGGTGCCCACTGCTGAGCATAGCAAGTAGCCGGCACAGGAGACATTTCTATAAACAGCAAGCGTAAACTGATGTAGCTTCTCCAGTTTCCACCTTTTCCCAGTTTCTCCACCTTCCCCCATAATCCCACATGTAGATAATCCTATTCCGGGGAGGAGTAGCCGAAAGTCATCCTGCTGCCAGTGTGATTTAGGCCAACCTGGAAGACATGTCCTGCTGCCCATGGTGCTGGAGGCGGCCGTGGCATTGGCAAGGGCAGCGTTGCCCTTTCAGCCAGGCTGGGAGCTCAGCGTGGGGGTGCTGTGCTGGAGCCCGGCCACGGACACATCCCTTATGCCAGAGGAGCGCTCAGCTTGCCAGAGAAGCCAGTTTTTCAGCTGCTTTGTGCTGCTAAAGCTACAGAAGGGGACTGCATCACAGCCATGGATCCGGCCTTTTGTGTTTCAAACCCTAAGGCCTGTTTTTTCCCTTTTTGTGCCGCTCAAAGCAGCAATAACTTTTGCAGCCCTTCTGGAACTGTTCCCCGGAGCTCTTCTCTCCAACTGGGCGCTGGGCATGCCTGCGGGGAGGTGGCAGCTTGCAGCACCGTGCTGAAATGGGTCTCTCAGCTGTCATGCCCAGAACGGGAAACAGACTCTCTCCGAGTCTCTTTGCCCGTCTTGCCCACAATCCTCCTGCATATCTGTGCGTCTGGCAGCCCTGCACAGAGCGCAGCGAGCCCTGGCCACCCCTGCCTGTCTTTAGATCCAGCGCTCTCACGAGTCTGTGGCAGAGAAAGGGGGACTTCTTCAGGCTTACTCCAGAAGCAAAAAGGGAGGATTTCCTGCCTAGGACCAGCAGGAGGAAGCCAAGCACTAGTCTGAACACAAAGAACAGAGAGCCTGAACTAAAACGCGCTAGTAACACCCAGAGATGCCTTTGCTCAGGGATCTGCAAGGCAGATTTGGCAGCTGCAACCCAGCCAGCCTGCGTGGGACCCCCGGCCACTGAATTCACCCATCAGCAGCCTCCCGCCCAACTGCCCCAGGTGGCCCTCACCTCTGGGGCAAGGGCAGCCGCTACCGGCTCTGCCCGGCGGCAATCAACGGACGGCTCAGCAGCAGCTCAGCACCAGTGTAAACCCCGAGCAAAGCGAAGGAGCAAAGTGTGAGGCCTCTCTCCCGGGGTTTTGCAGCTCCCTGGAGCAGTGGCTGAGCAAAGCCACCTCCCAGCGCTACAGAGCCACAGGAGGGTTAAATTTATGAAGGCGAGCATCCCTCCTCCCTACCCCTCAGCAACCTGCCTGCCGAGGGAGGGGCAGAGGGCAGGGGAGCCGGGCTTTGGGAAAGCTCAGCCCTCCGCCTGGGAAGCTGGCCTGTGCGCCTGCCTGCCTTGCAGGAGGGGAGGGAGGTGGGAGCAGCATGTCTTAGCATAGGGCACCTCATGCTGGCAGCTCCTGATATAGCCTGGAAAGCCTTTGTTTTAGTGATTTCCCTTCCTTCTCGCAGGGCAGTTGGCCCTGGCTCTGCCCTGCTGAGGCTGGCAGGCTGCAGAGGAAAAGGATGCTTCAGAGCAGTGTTGGGCTGCAGGGACCAGAAAGCTGGCCCAGGGCCAGGGATTACCCCCTTGGCTCCTCTCTCACATGCTTTCTCATCAAATCCACGACCAGAGTCACCTGCACATCAGGCCAGGCCAGACTTTTTCTCAGCTACCCCGTGCCGAGCATCCCACTGACGTGGCCATGGGGTGAGCGAGGCAGCAGCACCGTGGCCGCATACCCAGTGCTCCCCAAGGTCCCGCTGCCCGAGGAGCTGCTCCTGCACCGCGAACGCGGTGGCTGCGGGCGCGTGGGATGGAGGGGGGTCTCCCTCCATCGCCCAAACCGCCGAGCACCGATTTTGCCCTGATTGTGGGACGGTTTGTACCTCATAGGCGCCAGCGCCAAGCTTGCTGAACGCCAAGCCCCACCGTCAGGCTCGGCTGCCCCATGTGCCCCACTGACAGCACTAGGAGCAAAAAAAAAAAAAAAGGAAAAAATCTCTCAGGGGGCATTTTTTAAACCTCTCGTTCTTGAAATAGCCTCCCCGAGGGCTGACGAGCGCCCCAAGCAGGAAGGCCCACGCGTGTGGGAACGGAGCGAGCGCAGCAGCTGCTCCTGCGGGGACAACCTTCATAAACCAAAGCCAAAAAGTTTAGGGCCAAGCCCCCAGATCCTGGCCCATGGACTCATGGCAGTCCCCCAAAAAGCATCGCCCCCTCGGCCCCGGCCCGCACGTTCCCCCCACCAGAGCTGTTGCTCCCCAAAGGCCCCGAGGCAGGGGGACGCCGCGGGGATCGCCAGCGAGCTGCTATCTGCCAGTCAAGGGCGGGTGAGAAAGGAAACCCCCACAGAACAAGATGTCTGGTGTGAATCTCCTGATCTCGGTAACCCGAGGGCTGCGCCAGGCTCGGGCCGCGTGCAAGCGCCGGCTCCGGGCCTTGCTTAGCAACAGGGCACGAAACAGCCCGCGGCCTCGCCGGAGAAAAAAAGGCCTTTTCTTGTCGGTGAAAGATTCATCGTTTGGGCTGAAAGTGGCCCCTCCCCTCTTTCAAATACTTGTCAGCAGGGAGAATACAGCTTAGATACTGGGCTGATCAGATCATGGCTAATCTGTTATTCCTTGCCACTAAAACTGCCAGAAGACTTTCAAACAACTTCACTGGGAGCGTGCGTGCAGCCGGAGGGAGCAGGCGGCAGGCAGCGGGCGCC